GGATCTTTCAAAATAAACATTGGCATTGGCATCTGTCTCTAATAATTCTCCTGTTGGTGATAAGCGATACCCAAATGCAAATATCAAATTCACTATCGAATAATACAATTCATCAATTTCTGACCTATCGCCCCCTGCTGACCATATTCGCTCGTAAGCAGCCATAAATGTCGGCTTGTGGATAAAGGGATAAAGAGGATATGCATAGTCGAAGTAATTTCTAACGTAACTATTGGCAACACTTCTTGGGGGAAGTTTTATGCTGTCTATATTCTTATTGGATGGTTTATAGGAGCGACACATCTTGTATTTACATTTCTTAGCCGTGTCAACTTCCTCATCACTCAGCTTGCTACCATCCACTGATTTAAAAAGTTCCTTCATAAAAGACATTGCAGCAGATCTACCATAAAAGCTCCTATCCTTAGTTTGCACATTCGGGTTTGTTTCTGAGTCTGCTCCCATAGCATCAGTGGTCGAATATTCAGAACTTTCTGTTTGGTGAAACTTGGAATTCTGTTGCTTCAGATCGGGTTGTATTTGAGCTTCAGATGCTACCTCCGCTTCTTCCTCATCATAATTATCTTCATCTTCATCGTCGTCTTCATCTTCATGTGGACTTTCTTCTTTCACGTTTCGTATGCTTCCTATAGATGAGGAACGATCTGTATCAGATTTAAATTTCCTATCATTAGATAATATATCTAATTTTTCTTCTAGTCTTTTTACATAATCCACACTTACGTGTGCTCTTGTATATCGCTTTCCATAGACACAAGGTATATTTCTTTTTTGACATATCCCACAAGTCGGCTGAATACCATCACATCGAGTTTTTCTCTGACGGCAGCCCTCGCATGCCAGAGCAACCCTACGTCTTTTAGTTTTCTTATCACTACTGATATCCTTCTTTATCTCCAGCATGTTAAGTGTTATTTAAATGGATAAAAAATAAAGAATGTCTCTGCTTTTAATATTGATGCAATGTTTTCAGTTTCGGAAACGCTTTCCGTATTTTTCGTGGATGGTCCTATATTAGAGACTAATTCTCCATACATTCAAAGTTCCTAAGGATATGATATGTAGCAAAGCTCGTATATTTTATAAATAGACATATTCATTAGTATAAAGGTTACAAATATTTTGTTTTATGGGCGTGACGCTCATTGCTTCGTAAGACTTTATAATTCTGTGAATATTCAAGTTTTTAAGTAATGGTGTTTCAGAAAAACTAAAAAGATAGGCCACCTCTTGACCTTTGCCCATATGCGTGAACATCTTCCATGATGATATACAGAATGTGTCATTTCTGTCCCATTCAAAGAATGTTTCTTCTCCACTATCCTCTTTAAGTATAGCTATTCTTTTAAGCGATGGAGAAGAGCTCCAATTGCAAGTTTCTCGTTCT